AATTAAACGAAATCAGGGAAAAAAAGTTGATGAAAAGGCAGTCCCCATTATGTACGAAACAGAGAACATAATCACAAGAGCCAACATTTGAAATATAATTGAAGGAAGAAGACACTTCGTTAAATGCCACGGAAAAACATTATAACTTTACAAGACAATTAGAACACTAACACTTGACAGGAAACCCAACTAACAATGTTGAGGAATCAGTATAAACTGAGAACTGAAATTTGTCAACCAGGGGAAATAGTTATGGACTATGAAACTCTTGTTGGGGTTAATTAATCAATAGAGACAAGTATAAATTTGAATTTTTCGAACAGTCTAGTTACACTTGCTGGTTTATATAGGTTCTTGATAAGATATGAAACTAGACCAGAAGTAAAGGAAGCAAAAAATTGATTCGATATGCTCAACTAAACTTCTACTGAACATAAAAACCATTCAATCTAAAAATAAATAAATAAATAAATCAACCAAAACAATTCAGAAAATATTGCAGAGGAAAGTCCTAAAACCTTTTCCAATAAAATTCAAGACCTTTCACCGAACTAAATCACTAGAAACTTAATGACAAACTCATAAATGCACTAACTTTAACAGCAAATCTTTTCAACACATCGGGTACAGGCATTAAAATGGACAATTTTTATCACCTAAGACAATCGAACTAAGAGCTTTAAAGCCCGTAAGCCAACCCAACATTTTGAAGCAACCCCTGCTTGATTCATCTTCACACAAAGAGTAATAAAAAGAAACTCATCAAAGAAAAAGACCCTTTAAATGTCATTTCAAAGCCATACCCACAAAGTATCTATAAGAAAAAAAAAAAAATTACCACACATATCAAGAAAAACAGCGCACGCAAGCTTAAAGTTAAATTCCAGAAAAAACCACACATGGGCTTGGAAAAAGAAAAAAAGGGAGAAACTTTACATACTTTCTCTCACATGGATGGTCTGAAGATTATTAAGTTTTCACCTGCCCACCACCCAATGGTTTTCATCAACCCACAATTGGAATTAACTGATTTTACAAATCACAGTTTGATGTTCTAAGCATTGTCTGAGATATGGAAATGGAGAAATTCAAAGGAAAGAATAGAAAATGTCACAGAAAATGGCATATGGCGTAAGCCACGTTTTATCTCGCTTTGGAAAAATTTGCATGGTGGATCCCACACACCTAAACATAATATTGTATTCTCATTTTTTTCATGGTCCAATTAAACCTCTGACCACTGTTCCCCTCGGACATGCAGCTTTAGAGCATCTCCAATGTGACTTTTGACATTGCAAAAAATTATCCATATCATCAACTTTTGAAAGTTTATTACTAATTTATTCTCCAATGCATCTTGTCATTAGCTCTTTCATGATGATGTGGATGGCATTTAATGTTAACAATGTTGAACTCACTTTCTAATATCAAACACCATGTTAAACATGATGACTCATTAATTCACTTTATATTTAGTTTAATTTTTTATTATTCTTGTATTAATGAATTATTATAATTGGTCCACCTATACAAATAAATTCTTATCAAATTGGTGCATTGGAGATACTAGTTTGATTCAGATTTTTAGTCTTTTAACATTATTCTTATGTGGATTAACATTACAATCATCAATTGACATGTGTTAAAAATTATTGTCTTTCAACACCATAGCATTGGAGATGCTCTTATGGATGTTGCAGAAATAAAAATTGGAGCTTTGCTCAAACGGGGAAAGGAGTAAAGAAGAAAACTCAAATACGGAAAAAGATGCTTGACCCCTTGTTTGTGTAAAATATAGGAGATGAGTGATGAGAGAAAAGAGTATAGAGATAGAAAGGCCAATATATATACATGAGTATGAGCTGGAATGCACAATGAGTAAAAAGGCAAGTGCAAATGAACAAATTAAGGCACTCACAGTCACACATTGGCCATTATAAAACAAAGGAAGGCCAAAACGGAAGACAATGGACCCTTTTGTCTTTTTTTCCAGATCATGTGACTTCTCTAATCCGAACAATTATCGTCGGGAGCCCACGCGCTTTTTCAAATATTTTGAAAGTTTATTATGATAAGACATAAATATGATGATTACAATGTAGTGTATGTTTGGATGCACTTTTGTAATGAACTTTTGACTATAAAAGTCCATTTACAATATAAAAAGATGTTTGGTGTAGATAACAAAATGGACTTCTAAAAAAGTAACTCCCACAAAAAGTCCATTTCAAAAAAATTTATATTGAAAACTTCTTGATAAGTTACTTTCAAAAAGTCCATATTGAGATGGACTTCTCAATAAATGTTTCCAAACAAGTCCGCAGTAGTTCTAAGAACGGGCGGTTCTTATTCATTGTGTGCTAATTAGGATGAAGATAAATAAGAATCATATAGACAATTCAAAGTATTATAAATTATGTTAAAGTAAAACCAATAATGCATGGTATCAATAATTAATAATAGACTTGAAATTCTGTGTTGCAATAAAAATTAGATTCGTTGAAATATAATTGAAAAAAAAATGGAAAAAAATAAACGTTATTATTTATAAATTATTTTTATATTTGTGTTTTTTATCAGTAAGGTAAATAAGGGAAGAGAAAACTAAAATAATAAAGTGAATAAGGAGAGTTGAGGACCTATAGTATAATTTAAATATACTTTATATTTTTTGACAACACAATTTAAATGTAGGAGGTGTTTGGATTTCTTGCCGCCTGGGGAATGGGGGAGGGGTATTATTTAATGTGGCACCTCCTTTTCAAATCATGTGTGCTATTTTAATGTTGTCATGTATAGTAAATCTTATCTTAGTAAAACTAAACACGGGACTTTGGAGATTATAGAATTGTACCGAAAATCAAAATGAATTCATCCCAAACTGAAAAATATCTATTGACTTTTTGACTATTTTTGAATCGAACCGTACTGAAACTTCTTTTGGTACGGTTATGGAGATTCATAATATATTCGTACCTAGAACCGAACCAGACCAGACCGAACCGAAAATAACCGTACCGAACCGATGAACCGAACAATAAGAGGATGCTTGGATACAAATCTAACTCAAAAAATCCAAATTTTTTAACTCAACCACTTTTTAACTCAATTTTAACTCAACATCACCATCATCAATATTATTAATATAATTAAATAATATTAACCAATCATTTTTATACATCACATTAACTTTAATTCACTATTCATCTACTCACATAATTTTAACTAACCCTCATTTCAAATCATCCATCTCCTACTTTTACATCAAATAAACTTTAGTTATTTATTTTAAATATATATATATATATATATATATATATAATAAGAATTACTCTTTACCAAAAATAGTGAACAAAAAAATTTGGCAACATTAATTGCATATCATTTCGGGCAAGTTTTGTTTTTATTTTTTATTTATTAAATTAGAAATATTTAAAAATGTCTTCAATCACGGATAGTTAGTTTTGGTAACCAAATTACTCATTTTTTGGTACAAATAATGCTATTAAAAATTTGAGTTTTATTTCAATACCAATCTTTTTCAAAATTAATTGAGATCAACATTCATTAATTTGGGCAAAAAAAACTTGCAAGTTCATAACCCATAATAATTGTATGCAATTCATCGAAATCAATGATATCACATAATTAATTGTCATATTTGTATGTTTTCAGCCGAGTTGAGTTTTAAAAGAAAAAATTCAATTGGACGCCAAAAAATTTTGTGTAATAAAATAATTTTGCCGATAAAAAAAAATAACAAATCTACCGCCACACACTCAAATTTTAAGAGTTCTTTTGACTAATCGTAAACACCCAAAAAATCCGAACATAAAAGTACAAAAATCGAATATAAAAACCTTAAAATTAAAAATTCCACATTTTTTTTTCGAGCAAAACAACTAAAATTAACAAAATCTACCGATGCACACTCACATTCGAAGGATTCTTTTGATTAATTGTAAAAACCAAAAAATTCGAACATAAAACTACAAAAATCAAAAATAAAAACCCTCAAATTGAACAATCCATATTTTCTTTCGTGCAAAGCACCTAAACTAATTTAAAGCATCGATTAAATGAAAACTAAAAAAGAATATGTATTTATAAGACCCTCAGTGTTAGAACGGAAAAGTTGGAAGAAGATCGATGAAAAAAGACGAAAGATGAAGCTGGAAGCGGCGAAAAATGAAGGAAGAAATGAAGCACTTGGTCCGATAATTTCACTATTTATACTATGTTCAGTGTAATCTAAACCGTCGATTTGCGTTGACTAATCTGGATCATTGGATTATTTTTTCTGTTTTGTTTGGGCCGATATGAACTTTCGAAGCCAACATTGTAAATTGGGCCGAGATGAACTTTTCGAGCTCCTTCCTTAACCAATACGCCAGTACTATAGCGCCGGAAAAAACTTTCTTAACCCTGATGGCCATGAGGGAAAAAGAGGGCGAGTCATTGAGGAGTTATGTCGATCAGTATAACAAGGCATGCATCGAGATTCTTTCGGCCTCGGATGAGATCAAGACTGAAGGATTAGTGAGGAGTTTGAGGATGGGTCCTGTAGAAGCTCCTTGGCCAAGAAATGAGCTATGACGTACGATAATGTCCTCAGACATTGTCAGAAGTTTGATAACCTGGAAGAGACAGAAGCTGAGTTCTCGAAGCTCGAGCAAGCAACCCATATAAAAGAGGCCAAGAAGGATAGAGCGAGCTCGCCAAGGCAAGAGACGTCGAGTGGTAGAAAGGATGATCAAAGAGAAGATAAATGGCAGGAACGACCAGTCAGGAATGGTAGCAAATATGGGAAGTATACGTCGTTGAGGGCCCAGATGGCGGAGGTTCTTCACACGTTCAAGCAGAGGATTGATGACTGGGTCGTGACATGGCCCAGGTCTAGGAGAGAAGGTCCCATACAACCGAAGTCTGGCCGATATTGCAGGTTTCACTAGGACTACGGTCACACAACGGATGAATGTCAACACTTGAAGGACGAGATTGAAAGGCTCGCTAGGGCATGTCACTTGAAAGAATTTGTACACAAGGACAGAGAGAGAAGGAGGGAGAAAAGGAGATGCTGGGAGAGTATGGAGAGGACTGATAGGGATGATGATGAGGATGACAAGAAGGATGACGAAAATCAAGGTTCTCGTAAATATGGTGGACAGAAGGGTCGAGATAGAAGAGATGGGGAGTTCAGGGAGGAGAGGGCTCCTCCAAGAAGAGGGATCATTCACACGATCTCAGGGGGCCCCACCGACGGAGACTCCAACAATGCTCGGAAAGAGCATACCCGAGCCGCGAAAAGGAAAAGAGAAGAGGTTAGAATAGCATCTTGAACGCCTGTGATCAATTTTCGAGTTGATGATGCTCAGGGGGTGCACCTACCACACAATGACGCGTTGGTGATAATCGCCAAGGTGGAAGGATATGAAATACAAAAAGGTCTTTAAAGATATAGACAACTCGATATATAGATGTAATGTTCTTTGATTGTTTCAAGCAGTTGAAGCTCGATGTTGAGCTAAAGGAGGTGTTAACTTCTCTGTACGGTTTTAACGGAAGCGAGATCGTACCCAGTGAATCATTAAGCCAATTCGATAAAACTAATGATAAAAATATAGAGAAATGTAATTATATATTATAAAACTAATAATAAAATAGATGTAATTATATATTATAAATATGAAATATATAAAAAAGTTTATATATTAACTAAACTGGTTCAACCGGTTTGCCCACTAATTCGACTGGACTAGTAAATCATTAAATCGGTAGTTTCACGCTCGGATTTTGAAACCTTGATACACACCCACGCCCTAATTTTCTAGCCGGCGTTGGGATAAAAGACTGCCATTGTCATTTGCCCTAGTCTTTGTGTTCGATATTTTTTTTTTTCGTTTTTTTAAAATATCTTTTTGCCCGCACTCTCTCGACCTCTGCCCATTCAGTCTTACTTCGAAGCATAAACTCTAGGGTTCGTAGAACATTCCGTGGGAGACGCGCTCACCATGAATTGTTCAAGTAAGTCTCTCTTCTTTCTTGTACTGTAATGTGTGCCTAGTTGCTGCTTTGTATATGTTATGCATTTGATTTGTGTATTTCCGCGTGCTTTGGCGTAGCTGATTTGTAATTTGAATTCATGCTTTGCAGTTTCCGGTGAGGTGCCGGAGGAGCCCGTCGTCTCCAAGAGTTCTGGCCTCCTGTTCGAAAAACGCTTAATCGAGCGCCACATCTCGGTGTGTGCTATATATTTGTGCATATCGGTCTTTTAGATCTATGCCAATTGTCGAATTTTGATGTAATCGAGTAGTTTGCTTGAGGGCTCGTGCCATGTTACCTACTGATAATATGTAGAAAGGGTTTGTTTATTTTCGTGAAGGAGGAGGTGTTTGGTTTCTTGGATCTCAATTTTGTGAATCAATAAAGTATCGAGAGAAAAATTATCTAATGGGAGATATAAAGCTTAACTAATACGTTATCTTAATTCTTGAGAAGTTTGCTCAATTAAGTTCTGTTATTGCATATGTCATCATTGTAGTTCTAGGTGAGTTGGTGAAAAATTGTGGAGAATGGTTATTTTCTTCTGTGAGTAATCCTTTAATTCTATTCAAGCGCTTTAATTGTTATTGCCATCATAAATGATGCCTTTGTGAAAATATTAGATGAAAAATTCATCAAAGAGAATGTTTTAGTTGTCAATTTATCTTTGTGTTATCAAGACTTTGACATGTATCTCTGTTGTTTTAAAAATATGCAGTGGGCTTTCAGTTGTCTTGAAAGTAAAACACTGAAACACTTTAGGAGTTTGCATTGTTTGAGCTTCTGTTACTTAAATTACTTGATTTGAAAATCTCTATTTGAAGTTGAGTATGGCTACCAGGTTATTTTTTGGAAAGGAATGTAATGTTGTATAACGATAGGAACTTTTATCACTGTTACCCCTCAAGCTATAGCATTATTTTTTCGATATCATTAACATAGTATCATTTCTTTCTTTCCCAAGGACCTAAGTGACCGGCCTTGTGGTTTGCATAATTTGAATTAGTGACTCGATATTCAATATTTTGGATTTGTTTCTTACCTTTGGTTTTTGACTCCATAGTTAGCTGTTCCTGATCAAAGATGCATTCAATTTTGCCTCTCTTGATTTATAGGATTATGGAAAATGTCCAATTACTGGTGAACCATTAACAGTGGATGATATTGTTCCAATCAAGAGTGGAAAGGTATAAATTTTGCTGACTTGTAGTATAATTATGATTGCGTTGTTATTCCTACTTTGTTCATCTCTCTGATTCCTAGTTCTCTCATGGAAAGTTGGTTAGGTTGATCTTTGGTTTTCTTTTCACAGATAGTGAAGCCCCGGCCAGTGCAGGCTGCAAGTATTCCTGGGATGCTGGGATTGTTTCAGATCGTGCGTTGTTTTCTCATTGAGCTTATTGAATAATATTTCATTCTCCTTCAACAATGTTGCAATTGTGATGTCACAACAGTTTGAACTTGTGCTGTTCTTTTAGCTTATTGAATACGATTTGATTCTCCTTCAACACTGTTCCGATTTTGATGGCGCAACAGTTTGAATTTTTGCAATTCTTTTTCAAGCTCCAGCTATGAGATGCAGGGGTGCATAACTTTCTTATGATTTTCCCTCCTTCCCGATTAGTTTACTGGATATATGATACTGAGGAATACTGTTCTCATTGTCTCTCTTTCATGATCTGTATTCCACTATGTAAATTAACCTAATTCTGCTGTAAACCTGATATAGTTTTGTCTGCATATTTGTTTTTCATAATTTCGCTTTTTTGTGTTTACATTTCCATGTGTGTTTTTGTTGGCTTATATTTTTCCAACACATCAGACTGGAACGAGTTCAGTAATCATGAGCTTAGACTTTTGTTTTTGTGATTTTCTCCCTTTAAAACTAGGAATGGGATGGCTTGATGCTTTCAAATTTTGCGTTGGAGCAACAATTACATACTGCCAGGCAAGAACTAAGCCATGCTCTATACCAGGTGATTTTGAGTTACAGATGCTTGGTGAAATTTAATCTTCTATATGGCATGCCATTCTCGGCTACTTAATTTTCTCCTGTTCTTTGCAGCATGATGCTGCTTGTCGTGTTATTGCAAGGCTGAAGAAAGAAAGGGATGAGGCAAGGATGTTTTTGGCACAGGCTGAACGACAGATACCCTCTTCAGTGGCAGTCCCAGATGCGGCCACTGCTGCTGCTCTAAGCAATGGAAAAAGAGGTTTTTGGCATTTTCACGTTGGTTTTTTATTCTTGTTAAACTTATGTGCCTGTGCTGGATCTCAATTTTGCTTTGTCCTTGTAGCTCTTGAGGATAGCGAGATTGGTGCAGATGTTAAAAGAGGTCGCCCGGGAATCTCAAGTAGTATCATTTCTGAGCTTACCGATTGTAATACTGCCCTTTCACAACAAAGGAAAAGACGGCAGGTAGAAGTTTGGAGCATTATCTATTGTTTCTCTTGATGAAATATGAGTGCCAGGTATCTAACCGTTTAGTAGCTACTGAATATGTACTTTCATTCGTGAATTTTACCAGATACCAGCAACATTGGCCCCTATTGATGCTGTTGAGAGGTACACTCAACTCACTGTAAACCCTCTTCATCGGACCAACAAACCTGGCATATTATCTATGGACATTTTGTACTCCAAGGTATGGGGAGTTTTCTGCTGTTGTATTCCTTCCTTCTCTAATGGTTTTCCCCTATGAATTTTTACGATCTTCGTCAACATCCCATTTCTTTTTTCTTTTTATCTTTACCTCTTTCCTTTCCTATTCTACACTTGACAATGTAATCTCGTGATATTTGAGAAATGGGTATGGGGTTTTGAACAATTGTGTAAAATCTAACATATATTCGTGTCTATGTATACCTGTGAAGTTCTGATACGCATTTTTGACCAATTTGATTTTCATGCGAGGATATGAGATTTTTTTTCATTCCATCACAATCTTTGTGTATCTGGCATTGGTCAAAAAAAAGCAAGAGAAAGAAAAAGAATAAAAATAAGCACAGAAAGAAGGGAATAAGAATAATAAAAAAGATTGTTCTTTGATCTAGTTTTTATCCAACTCCCTTAAAGAACAAAAGGAGTTAGTTTTGTTGGTATAATAGTTTCAAGTGGCTAGGTACTTCAGTTAAAATTTGTACCAGTACTGTATAAATCTCACAAGCTATCTTCATTAGAAGAAATCCAATGAGTGTATCCAATGTAATTGCATCAATATGGATTTTGCAATAGGAATTTAGGCTCTACCCAGGTTGTTTTACTTGCTTCACTTGACCGACACTGAGGAGTGGATTGATATTTGTGTCAACTTAATTTAGACATATTATTCAATCTTGTCGTGTTCTCTCCTCCTCTCTCCCTCTCTTTCTCCCTCTCCCTCCCCCTTCTCCATTCCCCCCTCTCAATTTCGATCCCCTGCAGGATATCATTGCTACTGCTGGAGTTGATTCAAATGCTGTAGTGTTTAATAGGCCATCAGGTCAAGTTGTATCTACTCTCAGTGGTCATTCGAAGAAGGTAATCTTAACTGTCTCGTATTTCTTTGGATATTCAGATTGCTTTTTTTAGTATGTTATTTATGTATGTGTGTGTGTGTGTGTAAATGTATATAAATGCACTTTCTGTTGAGTTCCAGTTTCTCAGAATTGGATGTTAATTTTCTGTTCTTATGTAGGTTACTAGTGTCAAATTTGCTGCGGAAGGAGAATTAGTTGTTACTGGCTCTGCTGATAAGGTGAATAATCATTCTAATAATACTTTCCGTGTAATTTTTTGTCTATATAGTATATTGACAACCTTTTCTTGTTTATTCTCATTATGCAATTTAGTAATGTTGGAGAATTTGTTCTTCAAAAATTACTTGCTCATTATAATCTTTGCCTACTTAAGTTCAGCTTCTGATGGAGAACTTTGGAAGCCGCTGAATAATGTTAGAGTTTACCAAAATTGATATTTTTCATAATACAAAAATCCCATTGTCTCATTGAAGATATCATGAGACAAAATAGACATTATTTAAATTCTGCAAGGATGAAAAGAAATGATGGGGGCTTCATGTTAGAGTTTGCTAGAGGTTGAGATTTGTGTGTCAGTCCAATTGAATGGCGTTGTTTTCTACAGTAGGTTGAATTATTTGCCAAGGTGCTTGCCACCTTATATTTTTTATGGCTAGAATTGTGAAAATCTGGGTTCCTTATTGGATGGAAGTAACTAAGTTTAAGTAGACATCTGTTTACAGAGTTCACTTCTAAATTTTTCGAATATAAATGGATTGTAGCACTTATTATGTGACCTATACATTAAATAGTTAAATTTGAAATAAATTTATGCTAGTTATTGACAGGCGGTTTTATCCTCTCTAACGGCTGCATCTGGTGAAAAACCTGCCCGGGGCATGGACCTCAGCTGGTTTTTAGGCCAACTGTTGGTTCACAGGGTCAATTGTAGTGCCGGATATCAATTTTATAAAAGATGTATTGACATTTTTTATAAATAAAATGTAAATTATAAGAAATCTATTGTTTACAATAGGATTTTAATAATATTTCTATAGTCATAAACATTTACTGCATAAATATATATAGATACTTTTTATTCCCAGTCAACTTCAGCTCATTTGCTAGATGTAGTAGTGCAATTCTCTCTTTGCTTCTCATATAAATATTTCTGCTGGTGACTGTGCTTCCTTTGTTTATTGCAGACAGTTCGTTTGTGGCAAGGGTCTGAAGATGGAAGTTTTGAAAGTAAGCACACTTTGAGGGATCATACTGCAGAGGTATATTCTCTCCTGCTTATGATTTTCTGTAATTTACTATTTGAACTGTCTTTCCTAATATTTAGTTCAATTTTGGCAGATGATTTAGGACATTGCTTTCAAATATTGAAATGGTTGCAAGAGACCTACTTATAACTCTAGCTTGCTGATTAAAATCTTCTGTGCTTGCCACCTGATTTTTTGTGTGTGCATGTGTGCGTGTTCTCTTGTTTTGTGACAGGTGCAAGCTGTGACGGTCCATGCAACCAACAAATATTTCGTGACCGCTTCTCTTGACAACACATGGTGCTTCTACGATCTTGCTTCTGGTTTATGCCTCACTCAGGTCCAAACACTGTCTTTTGTATGGATAGGAAACCAAATTCTTTTCCTTGTCATTTAGAGATTTTATCCCACTTTTGTAACTTGTAACCCTTTTTCTGAATTCGTCTCAGGTTGAGGACGAATCAGGATCTTCTGAGGGCTACACATCTGCAGCTTTTCATCCTGATGGCCTTATCCTTGGAACGGGTACCTCTGGTTCTCTTGTTAAGATTTGGGATGTCAAAAGTCAGGTGCAGATTGTTTTGTTCTTTTTCCTTTAATTGCTAATAACCCTTCTCTTTTAAAGTTTTCGATTAACCTGATATTCTATTTGGCCATTGGCAATGAACAGCAAAATGTTGCTAGATTTGACGGGCATGTTGGGGCAGTTACTGCCATTTCATTCTCGGAGAATGGTTATTTCCTGGCGGTATATATTCTTTCCATAGCTTGTGAATAATTTGAACTTGATTTTTCCATATTATTATGATGGGCGGCGTTTAACTTTCAGACTGCTGCACAAGATGGGGTTAAGCTATGGGATTTACGTAGATTGAAGAACTTTAGAACATTTGCTCCATATGATGAAAACACACCCACGCAATCAGGTGATATGTCATATCATGATTGGCATGTATGCTGGCTGTTGGTCTTACATTTATATATTTGAGTCTCCCGTCTCTGTTAGGAGGATTTTAGAGCAGGAGGAGAAACTAGTTGGTTGAATATGTACATGTATTATTGTTAATCTATTTGTCACCTATTGGGACACTATAGTATTGTATCTTATAAAGTTACCTGGTTTTGCAGTTGAATTTGACCATAGTGGAAGTTATCTTGCCCTAGGAGGATCTGATATAAGGTATTGCCTGAAATACCCTTTGATTGTGTATTAATAGTAGATATTTGAGATAAAGTTGCTTTGAGTGAAATATGAGATTCAAAAGTTTTGGTTGTAATTCAGTCATTATTTTGTTGTTCATGGTGTATCTACAGAGTATATCAAGTTGCCAACGTCAAATCTGAATGGAACTGCATTAAGACATTCCCTGACTTGTCTGGCACAGGTACACTTTCTTTTTGTGCTTTTTCGAAGTATCTATGGGGTTAAATTACAAAACTACTTTTCATGTTAAGCGTAATTGTGATTTCAGAATCAATACTATACTACCTCATGACATTTGTTTCACCGTACTTTTTGGGTAGACATTTATAACACAAATGGAGTTGCAGAGTGAAACTCTGGGGTGATTTTGTAAATATGCTCATCTTATTATCGTCTTTTCTTGAGCTGTCCCAAATGGCTTTTAGTTCAATAATATTACCCATGGATGGATACAGGTAAAGCAACTTGTGTCAAATTTGGTCCCGACGCAAAATACATAGCTGTTGGATCCATGGATAGAAACCTCAGAATATTTGGGCTGCCTGAGGGAGATGGTGACCCATTAGAATCTTGAAGCAAATACGCGCACACACCGTATTAGTTTTTCGGGCTAGTGGGCTAAAGTAACTTGGAGATGTTGGAGTTTGTCTGTAGCTTGACAAGGTTTTGTTTAGCCCACTAAAATCATGGATTTTTGGGTGGGATATAGCTAGACTATCCCTACCAACCTTGATGAGTCAATTTTTCATTTTGTAAAACTATTGTGGATGGACAACTTGTATGATTAGAATATTGACTTGAAAGGAGTGGTTCTTTCTACTACTTTTCTGTAAGATTATTACACTGTTATTGATGATCTAGAATGTGTCTGGTTTGATTTATGTAGTGTTTCTAGATGGCTGATCTATCATTTTTGTGTT